GGGATGGCGTGATTTGGCGGATCACTCCTGCCAACTCTTTGGGGGTGAGCCTGGTTATACTTCTTGGAACTCCAATGGTGCAGCCCGGAAGTCTTTCATCCTTGGAAATGATCAGGCGGCTGCAGCAATGACCCTTTGTCAAACGTGCAAGCTCCACACTTTTGCTGCGCATCCTGTGCTGGAAGCGCACTTCGACCTCGATGTACTGGTGCGTGATCGTATTGTGTGGCATCTGCCAAGGGATTCCTCATCTTTGCTCATTGACCCGGACACTTTTGACAGTGCTTGTGAGGATTCTTGCAAGAAGCGTTGTGGCAAATTTGGACGTGCCATTGCTGCACATTCCCCGGCCGATGCTCTGCATTGTTTCGCAGTTGCTTTTGATGAGGCTCTTGCTCAAAGCAGTGTGACTCCGACAGGCGAACCTCGCCCTGTTTCTCGTTCGTACCTGGGGCGATGTCGTGGCCCGCTCTTTCGCAGAATCCGAGCGGTAGGACCTGTGGTTGCTCGGGCCAGGGAGGGTGATTACCAATGCTCGGTGCTCCAGCCTGACCGTGATCTGCGTTTGAAGGTCAAGCAAGTTCGCCGCCTTTCCAGTCTTTTGGGTTTGATGGCTAATCTGGAGAAACTACATTCCCGGACTACAGCTGCCATTTGTGAGGAGCTTTGGGTGGCTATTCGAGCTGCAAACGGGTTTCCTGGAGGATTTCCACAGTGGTCGCTCCGGCACTTGAGGATTTTTCTCCCTACTCCTTTGCCGAGCCGCCTTTTCGTTTCTGAGATTCTTGCTGAACTTTCCACTCTTGTGCGGACTCAAGAGCAGCAGGTCCGACTTCAGGAATGCCGTAAGTTTGCTTCCGCTATGGTTTTTGACTGCAATAAAGGTGGCAAAAGAGCTTTTGGTTCCATTCGGGAGCATCAATCCCCACCTTTGTTTGCCTTTGCTCATACCAGCGCCATTCAGGTTTGTCGTCAAAGATGGCCTAAAACTGGTCTTTTGCGGGTTCGATGCCAGGGTGATTTGACCTGTTTTCGTGCCGGGCTCCCGGTTTCTTTTCAGGATCAACAGGTGTTTCTTCGCTCAATTGATGCGCCTTTCCTTCTTTTGGATGCACCACTGAAGCTGCGTACTCAGGAGCTTGTCATTACACAGAAACACTATACGGTCGATGTTCAATTGATGATTCAAGAGGCTGGGGATGCTTGGTCTGCTTTTTGGGGTCGTGATGATCCTGAGGATGACGAGCAGTGGGATCAAGCCTGCCGCTTCGTGACTTGCTTGGAGGATTGCCCTAGCTGTCCTTATCAAGATTTCACTGAGGATTCTTGGCATGACATGCTTCGAGGTGTTAAGTCTGGAAGTGCTCGTGGTAGTGACGGGTTCACTGCTGGTGATCTTCGCTCCATGCATGGGACTATCCTCCAATGGCTGTTTCAGATATTTAGGCTCGCAGAAGCTGGTATTGGCTGGCCGGCTCGCTTGTTGCAAGCCAAGGTCACCCTACTTGCCAAGAGCGATGAAGTTCCACTGGATCCTTTGGCCACGAGGCCGATTACAGTCCTCAGCCGCCTATACCGTTGCTGGTCCCGTTACCGCTCCCTGCAGGTACTGGCATACTTGCGCACTTTGATGCCTGCATCCATTGCGGGTGGATTGGCCGGTTCGAGTGCAGATATGTTGGCAGCTTTTACTCTCTGCACGCTCGAGGATGCCCGTATGGCCAATGTTGAGAGATGCGGAGCAGTTCTGGATATCATCAAATGCTATAATGCGGCGCCCCGCTGGCCGCTCATTGCACTGTTGGCTCGCATTGGGCTTCCTCGTGAATATGTGGTTGCCTTTGCGGAGGCACTCCGGCACCTCGTTCGTCATTTGGAGATCTTGGGACAGACCTCTCCTGATGGTGTACCCAGCAGTACAGGGATACCAGAGGGCTGCGCTTTTGCGGTGGCTTGCATGGCCTCTATTTCCTTTCTTGCTTCGAGAGTTGTCCAAGCTGATGATTCCACTGTTGAGGCGGCTTTTTATGCTGATAACTGGGGCGTCATTGCTGACAGTGTCCCCGAGCTGCATGATGCACTACAGAAGTTGACCACTATGTTGGCGGCTTGGCGTATGGACCTTTCCGTGCCCAAAAGCTGGCTATGGGGATCCCATGGCTCTACCAGGAAAGATCTTGAGTCCCTGCAGATTGATGGTCAACTTTTTCCGGTCCTACGTGCGGGAGCTGACCTTGGTTGTGACATGGCATATACTGGCAAAGTCTCCAAGAAAGTGACGCGCAAGCGCTGGGGCAAAGCTAAGTCATGCCTGGCTAAACTGCGCAATAAGCGCTATCTGCCACGCTCCTTCAAGGCGACCATGGCCCGTTCTGCTGGCCTTGGGAAGGCCCTTTATGGGGCGGAGCTTGTCCATACAACGAATCTACAGTGGAAGGAACTTCGTGGGCCCATTGGACGCTCTATGGGGTATGTTGGCTCTGGTGGATCCACCTTATTGGCCCTTGCAGTTTTCGATCCAGATCTAGATCCCCAATTTGCCAACTTGGTCAGAACACTGCGCTTTTGGCGCCGGTTCATGCGCATTTTCCCAGGTATGCGTACTAGCTTTCTTGACCACTTGGTGATTTCTGCTGCCTCCGGCAAATCTGGACCGGCTCAAGCGCTTCGCAAGACCTTCTTGGCTGTTGGCATTACACCGCTTGCTGAGGGCTTTTTGGTGCTGGAATCAGGCCTTCGTGTGGCTTGGTTGCATGACAGCTGGGGCGCCTTGCACAGTTTCCTGACTGTGGCATGGAGGCAGCATGTTTGTAGAGCTCTTGCACATCGCTGGGATTTCGACTTGTCATCCTTTGACCCCGAGCCTTGTTTGGCTAGCCTCAAAGACATGACTCCCCAGGAGCAGGGAATTTTGCGCACTGTCGTTGGTGGGAAAAATATCACCCATGAAGTCTTGACTCGTTATGCAGCCCAAGTCAAATCTGATCGTTGCCCATCCTGTTCTTCACGTGATGGTCGTGATCACCGGATTCTTGAATGTGATGGTCATGCTCGTGTTCGCACTGACTGTGCTTTGACACTTCGGTGGCTCCGCCAGCGGCCGATGGCGACTTTGCACTACGGCTTGTGCCCTGCAGTTGATGACCTTTGGCTGTGGAAGCAGGAAGCGTGTGGTGATTTTCCAGCCCTCCAGTTGCCTTCGCCCTCGACGAGTGGTCAGGTATACACTGACGGAAGCTGTTTCTTCAATACACAGCGTACGTTTGCTATTGCTGGCTTTGCAGTTCGACGTGTGGCTGGGAAGAAAAGTTTTCTCGTGGCTAAGGGGCTTGTCCCTGGCATTGATCAAACCCCATATCGGGGAGAGGCTATGGCTGTGCTCTGGGCGCTTCAGAACTTTTCCCGCCTTGACCTTTTCGCTGACTGCGAGGCAGTCTTGTTTCGCTTCCAGAAGCTCCTGTCTCGGAGGCTATCTCTTGATGCCTATGTCTATGAGGGTCATGATGACATTTGGACGCGTATTTGGTGGCACGTTTTGCAGCGCCCTCCGGACTCGATCGTGACTCATAAGGTCAAGGCTCACGTCCGATGGCAGTCGGTTTCGGATCCTGTATTACGTGATGAAGCTCGCCTGAATGGTCTGGTCGATGCTGATGCCAAATCGGCTATCCAGGACCATCCCAGTGGGATTTTTAGACGCTTGGAGAAGGCGTCTCAACAGCATGCCCACCTTTGTGCTGGTGTTCGGGCTATTCATCGTTTTTGGGCCACTAGCTGCAAGCAGTCTTTGGCTGAGCAGCCCTCCGAGCGTCATTTGCAGGGCTGGCAACTTCCTGATCCTGCCCTTTTGATTCCTGATGGTGAGGTGGTTGCTTTTGTCCCCTTCGATGTCGATGCTCTGATGGCTCAAGGGTTCCCTTTCGGTCGCCTTTTCTGTCAGAGGTTGTGTACATGGTGGAATAATTTGACTTGGTGCCAGCACTCCGAGCCTATTTCCATTTTAGAACTGTATGCAGATTTTTCTTTGCAGACCAGGTCGACTACACCTGGTCGGACGTCAAAGAAACCTTTACGATGGGAATTGCGAGACCAGTCGGTTGCTGCTGATCTTGCTCCGAAGACTTTGGGAGCTCAGCTCCGTATTTGGGGCCTTGTGCTGAAGTGGTTGTTTGAGGTTCATCCTGAGGGCTTTCCTTCCGCCTGGATTCCTCGATGTTCCTCCATGCTGATTTTTGGCTACAAGCGCTATTTCAGTGGTTTCGACAGCAGGCCCAAGCTGGCATACTCCAGTCTCGCGGCTCTCTGGCACTACCTTCACCCTCCAGAGGGCAATCTTCATCAGTTGACACGTCTTTGGCCACCAGCTTCGAAAGCTGCGCTTGGCGGCGCATAGGACTTTAGGATTGTCTGTGGCCCTCACGTTTCCTGGGGGGTCCCAGCGCCACCTAATACGGGTGTGCACCACGTCGCAAAGCCGCAAAACCCATTGGTTGGGGGTCTCCCCATTTCAATACACAACCATATGTGAGTTGACCAACAGGGTGTAGATCACAATGTTGCCATTTCAGGCCATGTCACTGCATGTGAGGCCATGATCTGGTGTGCCCGACTGATGCGTGCACGAAGTGCTCGACGTGTGCAGGGCAGGGTTCCCAACAACCAGAACATGCAAAGGTGACAAAGGTTGAAGGACCCAGACTATCCCATATATAGGTACCAGGAAGGTCCTTTGTCAGATCACTTAACCTCTCTTGGCAGGTGACAGCTGAGTCGTCATTGGGATTCGAAGACAGCTGAGTCGTCATTGGCGTCGTAAGAATGTTCGATGTCGATCGCACGAGTCGTTGCACCACTTCGTGGATGGTCGGTCTTTACCAATCGCCGATTCATGGGAGATGCTTTTTTTCATCTTCTTTTAGACCCCGCAATCAAGGGCTCACAGCTGGACAGTCTCAAATCCCTCCACACGTTCTTCCTCCAATTCTTGCAATCCAGGAATCTTCTGCTGACCAGCACTGGCGTTCGCATCAACCTCGACCTGATCGGCCGCCAGCTGGCCCAGTCTATCTTGCGATTATATAGGATCTTTGATTCATACTTGACTGATCTTGACTGAATCAATCTGAGACTCCCTAAATCTCAGTAAACCCAGCTTTTCGCCAAAACTGACTCCAACTGCTGACCCTTCCCTCATCTTCCCTTCGAAAACTGGTCGATTCCACAGGGACCGAATGTCTGGTCGTGTGAGTTGAGTAGTTTGATTGCTCATGAAATCGTCCATTTCACGCGTGGACAAATTGTCCATGGACAGATCGTCCATTTCGGCCCGAGAGCGCCTGCTACGACCCAGCAGAGTCCACCAGAAGTCTTACCACGGAAGGTCCCCGACGTTGTCAGGGAGAAGCTCTCCAAAAACATGAACCAGGGAATGCTAGGAGGAATGAGAATATGAATCTGAAGGTCCGTATCAGAATCCGGGTACTGCCCCACCACCCCACTCCTTGTCAACTGTCCATTGTGGACCACAATAATTTACTCATCCACCCATGTAATCCCATGCACAGATCCCTGGATTTGGGCTCCAAGCGAACTAACACAAAATCTGTTTGTTGACGGTCTTTGTTGAGGATTTCATGTCCGACTTGTGCGGGGCTTGACGGTTTTTCTGGCCATTTCGAGGTTCCTCCTAGGAGCTCGACAGCTTCCACAATCCTCTTGAAGTGATCCTGTGTGAACGTGATCAACATGGGGGGACAAGCCGGGGGGGCTAAGGCTAGAGGAACAAAACTCCTTCCGACTCCTCTGCGACTCTGCGTTTTGATTTCGCAAGCCGCAAGACATGTGAAAAGAATCTAACAAAAAGGAAACAGCTTTGGCGCTCGGCTGTCAGACTCTTGCTACTTACAATAACTTGTAATCAATGACTTCCGAAGAAGACCATCAAGCCCAAGGGTCACAACATGATCTACACCAATGGAACTTCTTGAAGTTCGACCGAAACACCAATGAAACTTGGCACTGGAACAGCGTTCCATCGCTGCAAGCGGTGTGGCTTTCAGGTCCTTCATTTGTTGCTTGTAGATGACCAGGCCACACCTCAGTCAGGTCAGGTCCGCACCGGTGCCGCACCGGTCGATCCAGCCGGACCCGACCCAGCTCCGCTGTGGACAGGGACAGAGTGTCCAAAAGCAAGGCCACAAGGCAAAAAGGACCATCCGAATGTATCATTGTGCTTAATTATTCAATACAAGTAACATCAAGTAACCACCACAAGGCTCTGTCACATCTGACTTCCTGTGCCAGTCAGGGATGATGACAAGAAGTGTGAAAACCTTGTTCCACATTGACGTGGTGTCAACCAGTGGTCTTAACCACTGGTGTCAACCACGGGTGATTGTAAAACCTTTTAATATAGTGCGAAGAAGAATTCATCATGAGTCATGAGCATTTGTTTGAAGAACGATTTTTTTTGAAGGGGGAGTATTCATCAATACCGGGGGATGTTTAAAGCCTATTTTGATAGATATGATATGAGTCATGAGGAACTGATCTCCGCACGACGAGCTCGGCCAAGCTCCGTGACGACTTCAGCAGCTGATGCTGCGTCGCTCGGAGCAACTCCTTGTCGGTCGGAGCTCGGTCACGTGGAGCGAAGGTCGAACGATGCTGCGATGAACAGAAACTGATTGAGGTCAGCGGCTGGTCGAACGCGGTCGGCTGGTTCTGGTCTACTGAGTCTACTCATTTGTTTCTGGGCAAACATCTTTAACTCACGAAAGAACTTGTGGATCCATCGACTTGCTTGATCTCGCGGGAAAAGCGGAATATGTCCGTTGCAGTTCATGTGGGTGCACTTTTTTGGGGGGGGAGAACCAATTAACCCATGGTGGTTGGTCTATGTCCGTCTATGTCCTTCTTGGTTGTGGCTCTGCCATGGTGGATGCTGTCCGTCACATCTGAGCGCTCAGTCCTTTCGAGGCATCTGTGGCTCCAGCGCTGATGGAACCTGGTGAGTCACTCAACACAGACCCCAGCAACAGCTGACCATGGCAGCCTCTTCTTGATGTTGATGGAATATAGATATGTACATATGTGTATGTATATATATATATATGAATGGTGGATCAAACAGGTCAAATCCAAACATTATCTTGAAACACATTGATATGCACGCTGCAGTGGCAGGTAACAAAGTACTGCCTCTTTAAAATCACGTCACGTGTGGCAGCCAACCCTGCCATATGTTAACTTATCGATCTAAAAAAACATTGAAATCTTATCCAAAAAAAGTTAGGTCAGGTGTTCTGCAGTGCTTCAGGAGCACTAAAAAGCAAACCCAGAACCTCCTCAACCCGCTGGAGCATGGGAAGTAAATGCCCCACGCCTCCACTGGAGGCTTCTTGGGCCTCCTGGGGGTTCTGAATACTGGAGGCTTCCTGGCGCGGTGACCCACCGCTTCGCCGATTTTCAGCGAGACCTTCCCGTCCACTCTGACACTCAGGTCAGCAACCTTGGACCTGACTTATCATGATCCAACTCCCGTGATCGCTCCAAAAGATGAGTCTGAAGGCTCCCCGTTTTGGAATATAAAGACCTTCGGTCCCACCAGCTAGTAGGTTCCCCAAGCGAGTGGGGATCTCCCAACGGGGCGTGAGTTGTGGGAGCTCCATGAAGCATCTCCCCATCTGCCTGGGCGATAACGACCGGGAGCTGCTCGAGTGCATCCGAGGTGACCTGGGAGTGAGCACCTCGGTGGCGAAGGTGTGGAAAAGGTAGGTGATGTTTATTGGTCTTCTCACCTACAACTTCAGACTCGGATTCCATGAGGCAACAATTGAAGCCTTAGGTCTTAGATGGTCTTAGTATCCTTGGACTGCTTCCAAGGTGTCTGGGTCCCTCTGAAGGATCTTCGCCAGTGCACTTGCGACCAGTTAAAGGCTTGGAACCAGTTTATCAAAAAAAAAGAAGGGAATCAGAGTCTGCAAACAACAGCTTGTCGAGATGCTTGGCCCACAGTACTGAGCTTCATGATTTCGGGGAAGACTTTGAAGATCCCCTCATTTTTGGAAGAAGCCCTGCTCACCTGGTGTTTCTCCAGAAGTGGCAGCGACTCATCTTCGCCGCCGTGACTCGCTCCTGGTCGCTTTGGAAACTTTAAGTCGCCTAGTATTCATGTAGGAACAAGCCAATCTCATTAAAGGCACTTGCTGGATTTAAGTGGAAGAGAAGGGACTACACCCACTGAGCCAGCTCTCATCACTCCTCTCAGTTCCCTCGATTTAGCTCCCCCACGAGACGCAAGCGCTGCCGCAGTGATGGCCGCTGCTGCAATAGCATCGAGGCCCCAGGGTCCTGCAGGGGGCTACAGTAGCGGCTAGTGTTGACTGTTGATGAAAGAACCCCCCCTGCCAGGTTCAATTCACCAACACTCAACATTCAGACACCCTAGGAGGAGTCATCTCATGTCATCTCGAATGCTTTCAGTGGATGCTGGGTGGTCATCTGCACACCGGTTGCGTATCAGATTTGCCTTCAAAATGAACCCAGTTCTTAAGTGTCAAAGGCCGCCTGCTCCACCAGCAACGTAGGAGGATCAATGGGCTTGGCCATGGCCTGCGCGAATGACGCGTTTCGGCAATGAAGCGCAGCGCCGCAGCGCACATCCAGTGTGGTGGGAACGATGCGGATGTGTTAAGCAAAAGATCCACTGAACGTGCAAGTTGACCCTACCTCCAACAATCATGGAAATTGGAAAACCTACTGTATATATAAAGATGTATTAGCCACATTCCCCCTCTTCCAAAGGCCACACTTCCATGCTTTCCAGGAGGGAAGTACTTACATCAAAACCATGTCAAAACCTCGGAATTTCAACATCTCTATCAAAATATCTTGCTTTCTTGAAACCCACCGACCCACCCCAGAACCCCCCTGTCCCAAACCCTCCTTTGGCCATTTGGCTTGGCCAACGAATTTGGACATCCCCCTTTTCCCCATCAAAACCAACCAACCACCCCATGAAGTCAACGCCGGTTTCGTGCGGCGGCGTCGCGTCAGGTGCGCCACACCTTCAAGCGCGCCAGGTTTCGTCGTCGCTCCGCGCGGCGCTCCTCCGCCTACGGTGACCCGTGTGGAGCGGGTTGAGCCGTGTTGGGTGAGGAGTGAGAGGTGTCCGTTTTTGGAAGAGGTGAAGAAAGCGCGAAGCGTTGGAGGAAGAGAGACCGTTGAAGAGCCCTTTTTGTTGAGCCCTTGAAGAAGAACGAGAGAAGCCAACAACATTCAGGTTGAGTGGTGCAGTTTCAGAGGTCCGTGTCGTTCAGCCATGATACGAAATGATGTGATATTGATCAGAATGGTGAGACAAGACCATCCCAAAACATCTGCTGGAACAGAAGCGAAGCGAAGCGAAATAGGGTCCGACTTTCTTTCCCAAAACATCTGTGTGACCATCAAGGGCCCAACACATCTGTGTGACAAAACAAGACATCAAGACATCCAAGGGTGGCAGTTTTCAGATCCACAAGCGTGGCAGTGTGGCTCCTGGAACCAGAACACCGGGCGAGATGTGACCAGCATCGACAGATCGACCGCAGATCGACAGATCAGCCCCACTGCTGAATCTCCAACTGCTAATCACCAACTCATCACCAACTGATCATATCAATTTATATAATCGCCACTTCATTGCTAATCATCTTCAAGTCTGATGTCTTTTGGTGCCTCTGCCTCGCCCTGTAGACAAGAAACCCTGCATGCGATGGGCGAGGAGGTTGGACTGTAGATCAATCCCCCGGTTCAAGGCATCCCCCTGCTCAAGGAACCCCACCTGCTGCTGATGCCGTTGAGCATAGGCCTCTGAAGAGAAGGTCGGCGCAAGAATAACAGTTCACAAGTGGCCGCATAGATTGCGGAATGTTGCAGATGGACACAACATTGGAGATTGACTTATAGAACATTCAGTTTTACAATGGTTTATCTCCAAAAACCTATGGACTGTATGACTGTATTTCTACCATCTTCATCCATCTTCCATGTCTACGAAGGCACCCATCGAAACCCACTGGATGCGCACGACTTGTGGTTCCGCATCGCTGTGGATGCAGCAAATCCCCTTCGGACCATCTCGGACCATCCCCTTCGAGCGCCCGATGAGGGCCATGGAAAAACATTGGATCGTGCACGTCCAGCCAACTCGTGTTGAGTAAGTTCATGTTTCATTCTTTGTGAGCTGTGAAAAACAGTTCACCTGTTACTCCGCAGGAATTGACATGCTTTGAACCCAAAAACGGGCAGTCCGGATCTCCGGATCTGTCATTGCTGACACACACACACACACACTTACTTGAGATATGATGCATTCGGTCTGAATGCCACTTGCCCCAACGCCGTGAAAAGACATCTGGGTAGAATGAGTGCCAAGGAGTTCAACCATGGAAAGTAATCTCAAAGCAAAGGCCCTCGATCGAGTCGAGAAGTCGATCGAAGAAATCAAGTCTTCAAAGTCATTAGCACTTTAATGCAAAGCACCAAATGAGACGGCATTGACCATACACAAGCTCATGATAGCTCATGGAGATTGCAGGGAGTCGACTCCCTGCCCCGAAAATGCGCCGATTTCACGATGGGCTCCCTGTGATTCCAAGGGAAACCGCACACCACACATTCCAAGGTTTGCGCCGGTCCCGCCTCGGCGAGTTCCCTCTCTTCCTGCTGGCGAAGACTCTCCAGCTCAATGTTCTGTATGCGTGCCTCAAGACCACCACGCAATGGCGACCATTTCAGATCAAATTCCGAAGCATTGAGGCCACATTCATCGAAATTTGGTTCATTCTCTTCACTTATCGGATCATTCTGATCCTTCTTCCATGTGCAGCAACTTGGGAGCATGCACCATTGGCTACAATACTCCGCAAAGCGGCAACCATTGGCTACGACCCTCGACGGTCTCAACTCCACTCCTTTGCAACGAGGTGCTCTTGCCAAGGACCGCTTCAAGAACGCCAGGTGTTCGGCCTGCGCGGAAACAGAAGACCGCGGTAACTTTCTTGAAATCTGGTGATGATCCGATGAACTGGTGAAAATCCGAGGTACTGTAACTCGAGAAACTTCCGTGCAATCTGGGTGCATTAAATCTAACTTATGAGTGTGACTGAGTGTGAGGTTCGACCACCAAAATGCAGAGGCTTGCGGCCACAACAGCCTTTCACAAGTGGTGCTTCATGACAAGCGTTGACCAGTTGTTTTTCCGTGTGACTCAATCCTTGACAAACAAATCCAAAAGGCCCACTTGACTTGTGTCCCTTTGCACACGAAAGGACAACATGTACAGTGTACAGTAAATATGTGCAATGTTATGATGCATCATGCATCTGACAGGCTTTTATACTTTTCGAGCGAAGGACATTCGCCGTCTCCGGCCATGGAGTGCTGCCTGTGACATGCTGTGATGCCGCAGATCCTCCTGAGGACACCCAAAATGCAACCATCAAACACTTAAACAACAGTTAAGCCTTTAACCTGATGATATAACTGTCCCATCTGGTTCATCCGATGCTTGGAAAGCCTGATTCACCCATTCTAAGGTGGTCATTCTGCCAACATCGGCCCTTCATCAGCCGACTTCAGGTGAATGTCCATGTGTGTCTCGCAGACCTCATTTGAAGGATGGACAAGTACTCGTGCCCCCAAACAGCAACCATCACAAAACGATCTCTGACATGCTGAGCATGGATGCTGTTTGATGCTTAGCGACTGCTCGAACAACCGTCCTGTGAGGATCGGCGCTGCAGCTCCGGCAACCTCGTGTCGCGGCCCAAACAAAAAGGAAGGCACCCCGCAAGAACCACGTCGCCCGTTTTGTGCTTGAAGGGGAAATCAAGAACGATAAAGTTGTGTTGCCACTGTAGTATCAAATTAAGTCACTGTAGTATCAAATTAAGTCACTGTGGTATCAAATTAAGTATCATATGATAACTTATAATATATATATATGTTATATGATCAAATACCCCCTTCTCACGGAGAACACCATGCGGTCTTCTGGGTGGAACACCCATCCACGATTCCCACGCTCGGTTCGGACACCGATCGGATGGCCGTCTGGCCGTCTGGGGGATAGGACTCAGCGCACCACGACGAGTAAACGAGTCGTGCGCCCAATTTCTGAGGGAAGTACAAGTCTGGCATCACCAGGTGCCATTTGGAGGGCGCTGAAGGCGCTGCATGATCACAGGAAGCGGCTTTCTGCAACTATGATACCTACTGCGTACCAGGAAAATGCTTAGCTAGATAACTGGAATGGCAGGACATGTCCATGATGTCCTGAAACCTCATACAAGCAGAGTAGCACTTGTGCTTCCGCCATGTCTCAATCCTTCTTGCAAAGCTTTTGTTTCTTTATGCTCTTCCAATCACCTGCCCCTTTTCCATGGACCTTGGATCGCTTGTGATGTCTTTCTTCTTATGTCGACAGTCAACTGTCGAACCACGGGAGCGCCACGGTCAGCACAGGTGCAGTCATGAAAAGGGGAAGATATCACATGAAACGACTGGCTGGACTCCATGAGAGAATGACTCCCACCTTCAGATCCTCCAGCCATGAACATAGTTACGAGAGAGCTGGGACTCGAGTTGAGCCCACAAACCCCTCCTGACATAGAAAAGGTGCCTGATCTCCAAGACCTTTCGCGCTGTTCGCACCCCGAAAGGCACTGAACTCTTGCCTCTTGGCCCGCAGAAGGTGGGGAGTTCAGTCAAGTTCCCTCCAGGCAGCCTCCAGGTGCTTTTTTCTTCTAAAGAATTCCCAAATCGTAAAAGCCAAAGATTCCCCATCTAGACTCCAATGGAGATGGGTTTGTTCAACCTCTGATCCCAAGTGAAGGCAACCCTGCAGAACGTGTTCCCAGTTACTACACGAAAAAGCTGTCCTTCTTTCAGATCCAGCTGCGCTGTGCGAACCTGCAAACTCTGCGAACACGCCACGATAACTTCATGGCGATGCATCCAGGTCGATAACTTCATCGATGGAAATGGCCGCTGCTGGCCGCTGCTGGCCGCTGCTGCGCATGATGCCAATACTTACATAGAGGTTCTTCAGTGGACTCGAGGAAACAGCATCAGTCTCTGTAAAAGCCACTTCCAGCATGTATTTCAGCGCCTGAATTCCAACCACAGTCCGGAAGATCATCCGATGTCTACGAGTACTGCCAGCTTTCTTTTAAAGGGCGCCCGAATCAAAGACCAGCGATGTTCGGAACTGCAAAGAGCGCAGCTCTGGAATGGGGCTGGAACATGGCCGCCCCGACTCGGAACCGATCGATCCATGCACTGACGTGCAAGAAACAATGGTTTGGAATAGTGGCTACACCGGCGTACTGGAACCAGACAATTGTGCTTGACACAATTGAAGACTAGAATCAGATTGTCTATGGGGCATTGTCAGAATTGAATGATGTTACTGTTGTGTCATGTTATATCATGTTGTAATTCAACTTGATTCATCCATGTTCATCCGGCTGACTGTTTTCTGTCACAAATCCTGATCGATCTCATCATCCTCATCGTGTCTCACTTCACTTCTCTTGCCTCGACACCGGGCCGAGCACGTGTGGGAAAATGCAATGTCCTGAAAATCAGTGCTTTTCCCGGGGTGAAGCAGCCTTCGCAGCGGATGAATGTAAGGCGGATGCTTAATCTGGGTGGGTCAGAACGAGACCGGTCGCGCCCCAGACATGACTGCCATCCGCCAGTTGACATCCAAGTGTCTGAGAATAGCCAGGGCTATTGGTAGTCTTTGTAGTTATACAAATACACAAATACACCCCCCAAATGCGGAGAGTCAAAGATCAGGCATCCCTCTGCCACGGCTGTCATTACGAAAACGACTGCAACCCTTGGAGACGAATGAATAGCGGGGGTACAACGAACCCGCCGATTCCAGACACGGAACCGATTGTAGATTGTAGAAGCAGGAAGTGTGCACATGCATCTATTTTAGAGTCTGGTTTTTCTTCCAAGGTAGGCTTCTTGGGTTACCACATGCCCTCCTGATTGACTGGAAACCGACAGTCCCTCAAACTAACATCAACATCGAGCAATCGGCTATCACCCAGTAAAGAACGGGGAAAAAAGCTGTCAAACTTGCCCATGTGGCAGCTTGTGGATGATTCCCAGGCCGCCCGGTGGAGAATTTAGGTACCTTGAGAAAAATATATAAATATTACATCGACACTCAATGCAGGAACCTGTGGTGGGGTGCTAGATAGAAAAGTAGATGTCCCCACTCAAAATGTGTTGGAAACCATGCCGCTATCTTGGGACCACTTGACCTCTGAACTCATTCAAACGACCGAGAACCTCGTCCTCACTCCGATCACGTCACGTGGTCGGTCGCATCCGGTCCCCCCGGTCGCCCGGTCGGGCTTCCGCGCACAAACGCATCCGCTCCGCACACAGCCAGCGCTCCCAGTTGGGATGATGCCTCACCAAACAAGGAATCCGAGTTGGGAATCCAAATGGACCGCGTGCCGAACAACAAAAGTGTTCCAAACCGAAGAATGGGATGTAGCAATCAGGACACTGGGGAAAAGAAAGGTCTGGACAACTTGAAAGTAAAGGATATGGCAGGATCATGATATGAAGAGCGATGTCCATGTCCTGAAGCTACTTCTTTTCAAGAGGCTGAGATTGCCAGGCCCGCCAGTTTTGAGAAGAACACTATCATCAGTGAACTCAGTAATAATGATGAAAATGATGTCCCAAATTCCACCTGATCTCTCAAAGAGCTTCTCGAAAAAGGGTAAATCAAACGATAGATAAAGGGTGGCCTACCAAATGTAAAAACAATTAAAAACACGTCCCTTTCGATGTCATCCACACCTGAGAGTGTCTGTCAATTTGGGACCGGTCATAGTCACGTGCCAAGCAAATAGGCCCGGTGGAGGTGATACAAGGCCAGCGCTAATGGTCTTGACATTCCCCTTTGTCCAGCTGAGATTCAGCCATAGTTACAGCCGTTCTCTTTATGTTCAGGGTGCATATATAATAGATGCTTTCACATACCTTCCCTCTCAAAGACCCAAACTTACGCCGAACTTGTGGCCATATACGTCAAAATCACCGCATGGGTTCACCAGGATCGACATGGTCGACCGGGTAACAACGACCAGACCCGTTGTCAGTGTGGACGGAACGCCTCTCGCCAGCCAAGTGCTGCATTTCAGGGATCTTTCGCTGGATCAGCCTGGCATCCAATCGCCACCCATCCAATGGCCACGATTCTTGGAAGGCATCAAGCTGGCTGCAAGCTGCACGCTGTAAGCTGCTGCAGAGTTCCAAATCGGGAGTCTGTCTCTTTTCTCGCCAAGCGAAAAACCCCGGGCCGCGCAGCCACCTCGCCAGGATATCAAAGCGCGACTCCTCCAAAATCGCAGCACCTGGGTGTCACCCGTGTTCGCTCTATCCCGCTGTGGTCAAACCCATCCGAAGCGGCCTCTGGGCTACTGCGGTAGAACGACCGAGGTTGTACGGTGCGTCTCGAAAGTCTTCCAAAAAAGGGGGAGACTCGGGTGCCTGAGTTCACGTACTTGCCATGTGGAACAGCTCGATGCAAAAATGGAGAGAAGATTACATGAATGGATGGATGGACAGCTGAAGAAGGATGGATTGCAATTGAAAGAGTAGACAGCTTCCCAGCTCCCATCCCTGCACTTTAAGGATTCCACAAAGACGCTTGCCCTCACGCTCACCCTCACCAATGACCTGAAGCGGCGACACACTGAGCCCGGTTCGCTTATGACACCAAATGAAGCTCCATGCGTCCCTGTTGCATCCCTGAAGAGATCTCACTTCAGAAGGCCTCAGATGTGAACTATACCACTCAAAGCCCCCAAATGGATGGTTTGAGTGGGAATTGACGAGGGCCATTTCAAGGCATCCATGTAGAACACAGTAGCAGCTTTGGCCGGACGGACCAGCTCCTGTCCCGTCCTCCATCGAAAAGGTTCGGCCGTTCAGCCAGATGGTTCAACGTGTGCCCGAAAAAGAATCGGTGCTTCAACGGTCAAACGATGCGGTCAAAACACCTATTATAACTCATATTACAAGCATGATTTATAAGAACAACCTGATGAAAGCATGTGAAACACCTCGTCTCCCAAGACATCCTCCCACGCGGGTTGTCCCCATTGACCTCCGTCACAACTTCGGACCTCGCTGGCTTCGAAGCGGGCGCTGCCCGACTCGTCCTCCTTCACGGCCTTGCGAACGGACGTCGGAGAAGGGAGGCGACGAAGTGGCGCCACGGAGAATGTGATCGGCGACTGTTTTGTTTATTTTAACTATTCCCTTTCGCAATGACTGGTTTTCCAAAGGTTCTTGGTTCTGTAACGTGTCACACAAATGATTTTGGGGGATCAGTCAGGCGTGATAGTCCGGCTGGATGTCATCCATTGACGGACAGATTGAGGCGACCGCCATGAGAAAAGAATGAAATGAACAATAACTTATATAAGTGTCTTGGTGTTCAAGCTCAAGTCTCAAGTATCTCAATGTTCAAGTCTTCAGCGGTCGAGTCTGAAGCTCTGAATTAAGTGTCTTGGCTTTGGGTATTCGTGGCTTAAGTAGTATCTTGGCACCCCACACACCTGCTTGACTAGCTGTCTTGCGACGTTCAAGGAAGATCCGCAGTGACGCAGAGGTGCTTCGAACTTCTAGCAAGAACAAGAATGTAGACTCTTGATTCATAACCCCCGCCATGTGGATTCTACAGCCTCTTCACATGGTTATTAATTTGGCTATGAATCAATCCAATCCAGGAGTTTACAATAGGAGCAAGAACGCTACTAGGAACAAGAAGCTATTAGGAACAAGTGCATCCAATCCAGGAGTTTACAATAACATGTTTCCCTTGATCTTCCTTTGGCTGGCACTCTTCAGAGCCCACAGGAGTCTACAAGTTCCCCTCCAAGAAGTCACATTTTACTCCCTCTCTCTATTAGGTTGGAGGCCGTCGCTCTTAGGTTGGAGGCCATTGCTATTAGGCTCTCTCTATCGCTCTCTCTCTCTCTCTCTCTCTCTTACTTTTCTGTTTTTTTTTTCGTCCTTTTCCTTGTTTCACTCCTGTGCACTCACCGCGTTCTTGTCCGATCCAAAAAAATGGGGATGAGCACCTGTAGGTGCCGCAAGCTGCTACAGGTGGAGTCAATGGCCCTTCTTTTGGCGGCCAGCATCTGCGCAGGGCTCTCCTGAGGAATGATCCAGGATGGATGGGCGTCTGGATGAGTTCTTACTGAACCCACACCGATGCAGTGAGCTCCTCCGTGGAGATCCCATGACCCAGACCCTCAACAAGTCGATCTGACTGTGGGGGGAAGTATACAAACCGCAAACATGTGACATCCTTACTCTCTTTGCCGTGTGATCACACAAAACATATGGCAAAAAGGAGTATTAGATGTCATTTTACGATTTCTTTCAGGGCCTGTGAGAATCCAACAGCGCACCTCCTCGCAACTGATTTGGCCTGTAATCTGTCGTATAATCCCTAGGGACCCAAGTACCTTGTCAGAAGGTGGCTAGAGACTCTGTTATGTCGGTTTGAAGGGTCCAGTCGTACCTTCTGAGGTTCGCTACGAATGGATCGCTAGGGAATGCAGAGATGCTCCGCAACATTGAACGCCGGCGATGGGAGTTCAAAATGCTCCGTCGACGCTGTCGGCCCATTCGGAGCAAGCTCCGTCCTGCTCGTGCACATCGTGAGTGTCTAACCTTGGGAGAGGGCGGCATCGCGTGATCCATGGCCACGCGACGCACGTCGCAAGGAGAGGGGCACGACTGGGGTGTAATTCATTCATCTCTATTACAGCCATTGCGAAATCACCTTCATAAGTCTCTTTTTTGATGCATCGTGGACAAGTCAGGCACATTGAAATCCTGTTTCAGCTAAAAGAGTTCTGAAGAACGCCGTCCAGCCATCGCTTCTCTTGTCGAAAAATAACCATCTGAGCAGAACAAAAACTCCGATTCTCCAAGTTATCGTCACAAAAACGACCAAGTTACCCAAGTGATCCCAAGTGTCATGTGTTTTTCAAGTCATTGTTGTTTCTTCTTGTCCCCTTTTTCATCCTGTCTTCTACCTTCGGTACTGTAGATCTTCATTCTTCCGATCCAAAGATCTTCACCCCAGCGCCGACGAACCCAGGCTCCACCCCCCGCCGCGGCGTCTTCCACCGAAAGGCTCGCTGCTCAAACGTCCTGCCACCATCTTGCAGCCACTGCAAAGCAAGGCCCGGGAGTCGCTGCCAAAGTCCTTCTTGAACTCATTCCTGCCAATTCGTCATTGCCATGACGACTGGCTTGTTGAAACCTCAAGGCCCTGTTTTTTGTGTTGGAAAAGAACTGTAGAAAATGGGAAAGGAGGGCAAACTGTTGATGAGTTGGATGCTGGATTGTCCTTTTTCCCACCTGCGGATGACAGCAAACATGGGTAGTATTGGCATGGATTTTTTTTTTAGAAGACTGGATTGGGCGGGATTGGGACATGAAGTTCCACTACCAAAAATTTCTTGCTTGCCCACTGACCTTCCCAAAGGGCAAAGATCGAAGTGCCGAGTTCAACGTGCTTCAACGCGGTTCGTTAAGCATGCTGAGCTGACCAACACCCTGCACCATCGATCGCACCGATGTGGATCGATCGATCCAGAAGAAACCCCCAAGGGACCTGAAACGGCGCAAAATCTGAAGCTGAACACACAGGACCGCTCCTAACAGTCTTCATGTCGACGTGGATCTTTCGCTTTTGCTCTTCCTGCAGGGCCTTGGCGAAGTCCAGGTGGGACCTTGGGAGTGTCGAAGGTCGAAGTGGTCTCGGTCTCTGACGGCATGGCTTGAAAAAAGCCTCTGGTTGGTGAAAACAGGAGCATGTCACCTCCAGTCACTGAAAAACACATCATTAAAAAAAAACAAAACAAAAAACAAACATCCATCATGTTGAATCACCAAGCAAGCAAATCTGCCTGCCACCCTGTGGATATTGTTATGATTGTCGGAAGATCAACTGCAGTGCCTCTAAAGCATTCAAAATCCACATGCACTGGACTCGCAGCTTTCTCTTTTCCTCAACTATGGTGCAGCACGATCCCGTTTGTCCGGGTGGTGCCACTTGCAATTGCGTTTGAAGTCACAGGTGCCCATCGACATGTAGTAGGGGCATACCGAGGCCCAAGGTCTCAGGGGGAAGCCTTCCGAGTTGAAGGTCACTTTCATGCCTTCGGGATGGTCAAAGCGACACGTGGTCCCAACGCGGCAGGTGCCACTCTTCGCAAAGACTTCACAAATGCGTGCGCCGGGGCGCATGGGAAGCCCCGCGGAGTTGAGACCCTCCTTGGTGGAGGCTGGGGGTCCGGCATCGTTGCGCAGCTTGGAGAGAAACGCCACATCTTCTTCTCGACCCGCGTTCGTGTAGGTCTCGCGCAGGAACTTCCGTTGGGTGGCATCCAAGGAACCGCCACCTCGTAGCTCAGCCTCAATTGCTTTGATGGCAGCTGTGAAGACCATGGATAAAGACTTGGCAGCATTGAGCTGTGTCAAAGCCCGCAGCACATCCAGGGCCTCACTCAAGCTGAAGCGCTTGGCATCGGATGCCTCCAAACCCATCTGGAAACATTTCTTCAGAGCAGGTCCTAAGATCTCGAATAAGCCCAGGTCATAGAACTTCACGCGTGCAGCTGCAGCGCAGACCGCACACAGTTCCCGTGGCTCGCATAAGTCCTTGATGGGACGTTTGCTCAACACCTCAGCGAGCCGCAACATCTGTGGCAGCGTCTGGACGTCCGCCGGCTCCACCGCGGCCGGAGACGGCGAGCGCGAGCGGGCGCCGCGGTCCTCGGGCTCGCGCTCGCGGGAACCGGAACGGCTGGCGTCGCTGCCTTCATCGCCACTGTCCATCCAAGCGTACGCCTTCTGTCGCGTGGGGCGCTCCCCGTTCGCCTTCGCCTCACCGTCGTCCTTCTCGTTCTCGGCCTCCACCTTCTCCACCCTGTCCTTGTCATGACCCACCTCCGCCTGGCACCCCGGTGGGCTACGACTGCGTGACAGGGAGGATGCCTGGTGGGTCTTGGCCTTAGCGGCATCGGCTTTGGCAGCTGGAGCTTCAACAGCTTCAGAGTCACCGGCCAGCTCTCCTTCCAATTCCAGCTGCCATCTCTTCTTCTGCCGTGGACGCATGAAAAATCTGCACTACAAAGCCCTTAGACTCTTAAATGGAGAATATGCCTGCCTGGTCTTTTTCCAATCAAGGTGTCCAAGAGACAGAATCTAGTGCAATTGCCATTGTCAACTACGTGCCTAACATCTACGGCGAAATGTCTACGGCTTTCCCGAACGGATTTCACGCTGCACCCTGAATCTTTTTGGTGGAAACTGCAAGAACCTCCACATGTCCCGCTCTCAAGCTCAAGTTGAGCCAAGCTGAGGCAAGTGTTTCTCGTCTGGCATGACTTCACATCTCATCTCACATGACTTCAGTGTCACTGATGGCAACCGTGTTTCGCCAACACAGCATGTCTCTGTGATGCCCCGTCTGTTGATCCTCTGTGATTTCTTCCTCGGGCTCATCCTCCTCCGTCGATGACGGGTGAAGAGTGTCACGAGAATTGGGTTGGGTGGCGCTCTAAGAAAGCTTTTACTGAGCTCTAATAAGAGCTGGGCTCCGAAGTAATAACCAAAGATACCCCGTCAGAGACATATAACCAGTGTGCTCTGTTGAATACATCTAGTAACCCTGCGGATAAGAACACCCCACGGCCAAGCCCAGCCACTACGTCTTTCCCAGAGTGCTACAGAATTGCAATGTTTTTGCCATGTCTTGAGGAGTAAAATCTGCCCAGCTACATCTCATTAAACTATTCATATATACATATATTATACTAATACATGTGGGTGTGTGTTCATTGTCAACAACCTATGGCCCTATGGCCTATGGCTAAGTTTGCCAAATCTGCAATCCGCTCTGCGGGTGCTTCTCGTCTCCTCACCCAGCAAGGCTTTCAGCTTCTCGATCTCAGAAAACGCCAGGTGGCTTCATGGGTTGGGACAATCTAGGCATTTACAATAGGATGTTCTGTCGCTGGACCCATAGTTTTCTATCTTTCTGCAGTCATCCAGCTTACAACATCACGGAATCCTGCACATATACTGTTCATGGAGGCCCGCTCTTTCTGCAGCATCCAGCACACAATAGCACACATATCCCCTGTCACTACCATGAACTGCCACTAAACAGTGGGTCCATCAATGAATCAACCGTCTTCAGCCGAGGAGAGAGTGCATAATGGATATTCGGATGTGAGCGGTTACCCAAGCGATGAGTCTCATTGATGGTCCCAAAGAATATCCTGGGCACACCCGTTGTCTTCTTGCCCCTGCAGCGCCAACAGAGCCAAAAGCCACACCCTTTTAGAGATGCCAGCGAAACAGGGGTTTCAGCTCAACGGGTTTCTAGAAGGACTGGGCTGGGGAGGTATGGATCCCCCATGTGCAAAAATATATAGGAAGGTTCCGGTGCAGACCATACATGAGTGAGGAGGGAGCAGGCAGCAGATGATGAAGTGAGGAGGAGGCATGGCATGTTTGTTTCACCGTTGCACCTTGCCCAAGGGTTATCCCCACCGTAGCAGTGAGTCAATCTTTCTGATCCTTGATTCGGAGTAAAACTGAAGTGGCTCGACCTGAGAACTGACATCTCCAGCAACTCCGCAAACCCATCAGGGTTACTTTCAGCCTGTCTCGTCGCTTCGGAAGACTGAGTTGCCAGCAGTCTTCCTGGTCTTGCTGCCTTTCTTGCCCTCTTTTCCTGGCTGCCGAGCCACACGTGTCCCGTTTCCCGCCTCCAGCGGCTCCAACACCACGTCCGACTTCGTGATCCGGTCAACGGGTTACCCGGGTGGAACGGAAGGCGCCCACGGTGACGTGGCGCGGAGGCTCCGCGCTCTGCGGCCTTCAGACTCCAACTTCGCCAAGGTGTCTCTTATCACCTCCTGAGGCGATTCGGAGACGTTTTTGGGCGGACGGGAACAGGGGGCGAAGGCCCAAACGCCCAACTGTTCCTGTGGTGGAAATGACTTGGTAAAGCGATGACCCAGTTCCATGGATCGTTCCATGGATCGCTTTTCTATCTTTTCTATCCATGACTCTTTAGACTCCAGTTCCATGGAGGGTTTTATCAACGTTATCAATGAGTCTAAAGATGTCTAAGTCTGAATACATGTTCCATACGTTGAAAAACCATCTTCGACTCGCGGATCAAAGCACTTTCGGCTCAAACTTGTCTGCACCTTGGCCTTTTCCTTGTCCTCATCGCTGGTCTCTTCCTCCTCGCAGAAAGCCCGCTGAGCGGAGTCGAAACCACCGTGTGTGACGGAGGGCGACTTGGTGCTTCGAGGCGACGGAGCAAGCGTGCTCGGTTGCGGGTCCATCTTCCATGACCACCGTGACCAGTCGGTTGTCGGAAATTCATGGCCAGAGCATCAAAACATGTCACGAATTCGCCAGAAAAAGAAAAAACAATTGGTATGATCGGACTGCTGAGCCGATGCAAACTTGTCCAACTGACATGCGGCTGTCCAGTAGTAGCTGGTTTCTCGAACACGCAACCAGCCATACTTGATGTTTGTGAGTGTGTGTGTGTGTGAGTGAGTGCGTGCTAAACACAGCCACTTTCAAGTTGGTTCCTACAACTACAACTGGCAAACACA